GTCTCGGGGCACTGTACAAAAAAACAATCAAATCTAAGGAAGCCAGAAGACTTTGTTGAATCTTCACTTTGTCTCAGTCTCCCATCCTGAGCAGCAGATTGGTGACAGTGGAAAAGACAAACTCTCTTCAGGAAGAAACCTCCAGCAGAACCAGAACCAGGCTCAGGATGAGCGGCCATCTGCCTCGACCAGCTGGGAGTTTCAAAACATCCACAGATAACCTGACTTTTACACCAAAACCATACTTAAATCTGTAAGATAGCTGTGCTGTTTACAAGGTCCTGAAGTTGGTTATTATTGTTGACGGACTGCACAAGGAAGTGGTTTGTCTGATTAAAAAATAAAGATGCAATCTTAATAATCAGCAGCTCATGTCATGTTAAACATATTATTTATGTGGTTTTAAATTTGATTGCCCTGACCTAAATAAAACAAAAATAATGAGGTCAGGAGAAAAAGTAATTTTGAGCTGACCTAAGAAAATTCAAACAAACAAATAGGTAAACAAAGTTCTAGGACACAATTTTGTGGTCAAGAGGTCATCATCACTTTTTCTGGCCACACAAACAAACAACTCTAAAATGGTTGAATTTGATTACMGAATGGTAATTTTTTTTATCCAGCCCGTGTAACCCAGCAAACWTGGGTCACAAAGCCCTCTGCAGCTGATTGGCTGCGGGGCTCGTACACTCTTCAATCACGAACTCTTCCTGGACCCTGATTGATTTGTGGGTCCACATGTGCACGAATCACAGGGCCCAGAGCAAATATAAACTTCCTSTTTTGGGTGTTTTTGTGCCACATTTTCTGCAGACGCACTGAACTCATGACCTCATGGAGCATTTATTGCTTGATTTCCTATTATTTCTCTATTTCTTTTATAATAAATTGCCACCAAAGACAATTGATTTGYTAATTCTCGAGTCCAGCATAATTTCAGAATACCCACCACAGGCTATTCTGACACAGTTCCTTTAAAATATGAATCAGACTGAGCTGAATACAGATGATGCATTAGGAAGAGTGAAGCAAAGATTCAGCGCTGGACTGTTGGATCCTCACACTTCCTGTGGCAGGACGTGACAATAATGAAGATCTGCAGCTGAGCTCTGCTATGGATTTAGTCACAGCGGAGTGCAGCCAAAGGATGAATATTTAAAGAAATGGACTATTGAGCTCATCCTGATAGCAAGTACGGCTGGAGGAAAACATACACTTTTGTGAGACACAGAAAATGTTTCAAACTCATTGCCTTTATAAATCTACCAAGAAGGTTCTGAGCAGCTGATATGAAAATAAAAATTGTGATAAATTATTCATAAGCAGAGAAGTTAGCACCCAGAAGCATCATGTGACAGCATAACTGTTCAGGCTGCAAGATGAAGCTTAAAATATTCAGTCAAAAACTAAATACAGAACTAAACACATTTCCTCTAAGTTCAATTAAATCAAACCTTAACATTCATGACCTTTGGTCTTGTTTATTAAATCCAACTCGTCTTTACTTTGAAGCTGAATTCTCTTATGTTTGTCTCACTACTGAAGGTTTCATTATTTATTTTAATCATGTCAAATGTCTTTTTCATCGAGCTCATTTGATAAAATGTAAAGGAAAAAAAGAAAAATTATTATGACGTATTTAACAGCAAACACTTTGGTCCTGGCCCTGCTCTGACTTCTTTCTGTTTTTGTTATTTTAATCTTTGTTATAAATTATGGATACATTAAAAATGACATTTTCTTTAAAAAAATCAGTTTTTGAAAGCATTTTTAAAAATTATCCTCTGGCAAGCATTTTATCACCAAAAACTTTCATTTGTACAAGAACAAAAGACATGAATAAAGTAAAAATTCTTAAAAAAAAACATTTTAACTACTGTGGATAGGGTGACCTAATTGACAGATATTATTATTTCAAATTTCTGAAACTAGGGTGAGAAGAAAAAAATAAATCYATGTTTTTGCCTTTTTAAAGTTAAACTGTAGCATGTAAGGGATGCGAGTTGACAGATGTGTCTGTGTGCTCCTAATGTCCTGCAGCAGAGACATGTTGTGTAACTGCTAATCCGATGCTACTTTTGACATTGAATATTAATCTGTACTCATCTAGAGGAGAAAATCAAATAAATTTCCCATTTAAGAGTGGCTCAGATGAAAGGTGGTACCAGCTCTCTTCCATCAGTTTCATTACCTTTAAAGGTTAACATGTAGAGGGTGTTTAGGTTTTTTCTCAAAATCCTTTAAAAGTAGATTGTTATCATCTTTGGTTTTCTACCATGCGTAAAGAAGCAAATAATGTCATCTTCTTATATATATTACATATACTGTATATAAAA